CGACCTTTCAGACATTTCACCATGTTTTTCTGAATCCTACATTGTAGCATGGCATAGACAATTCACGTTTGCAGTTTGAAGAACACCTGCTTGCTTCTGATGATTTCCTTTAGCTAACCAATGAGTGTTTGCGTTATATGACTCATCCAATTACACTAGTTTTCACTAGATGTGGATGGAGCCAATGATCTGCATTGGATGGCGCACATGATGTTTATAAACATTAAACCAGGGGTAACCAATTAAAAATCAGTGGGGTCCGAATAAAGAAAATCATCAACCAGTAAAGGTCCGGACACATTTTTATTATAATCTGTTAATTTAAACAGAATTTAACAATGAAATAAAATGAGGTATTTATGCATTCATGTCATACATTGAATTTTAAATTTAAAAAATGAATAGAAATTGCCAAAAATTGCATCCCGTGCTGTCTCAGAGGAGTTGACAGTTGTATGATTGTATTCCTGTATATCCAGCAGTAGTTAAAGGACAAGGATCAGCAAATACAAATTCTGCCTGTAAAACAATGACAGCACAATTCTTCCTTTATGGTCTGAAGCCTCATTAGGAGCTTTTCAACAGGCTTTTGAAAAACTTTGATAATTTGCTGCTGTAATATTATAGATTTTTTAGAATAAAAAGCTAGCAGATCTACATAATCAAAAAATAACAGAAAAACAATTATAGAGCATTCAGTATTGTAAGAAAGCCCACACTGTTTCTGAATAAATAAATTATTGTATGAGTTAAGTTCTGTTCAGTTAGGTCTCTTTCCTTGCAAGTGTGAAATGTCCCATGCTCCTAATTGCACCATAGCTATCTGATGCTCATGAATGCATCAAACTGGTCTGTGAACGCTGTGCTGTGTAGATGCACGTTTGATTTTCCGCTTAAGACAAAGCTTTGCAGTTTCAAAAAACACGTTGGCTATCACTGTTTATTGTTGTGTGTGAATAACACAAATAAATCAGCCTTACCTTGGACAAAATCTTTGGATTAAATGTTCATAACACCCATACTTTTGTAAATGGATCTGCAAATAACCACATTTTTTTTTCCTATGAGGGGAATATTTAAACGTTTTTTATATCATTAATATAACAACAAGTAGCTCCATTGGTCATATTTCAATCCGTTTCCCTCGTTGATAGTTGCAGTTGTACACTGCCACTGGGGATGCATATCTGGGCAGGCATGCACTTTTCGGCATAACACCGGACCGCGGTTCGCTAATCTATGACTTCTGCATTAAACCGAAGCCAAGAGTAACGAGTAACGATTGTTTTAAAAATGTAAGGAATGGTAAGTACAGATACATGTGTGAAAATGTAATGAGTAGAAGTAGGAAGTAGGATGAAAAATAAGTAATGGAGTAAAGTATAGATACCTAAAAAGTGCACTTAAGTATCGTAACAAAGTATTTTAGTACTTTTATTTCTTTTTCAGATTAATTGACTGCAGATTGTCAAGGATCAGCTGGGTTTCTCTGGGTTCAGCTCTGAGATCTAATCCATCCCATCTGACAGAACTGGACCTGGCAGGAATGGACCTGAACACTGGAATAAAGGAGCTTAGTGGGTTTCTCGTGTCTCCCCTCTGCCAACTACAGACATTTAGGTGAGATGTAGTTTATGTGTTTATTTTAATAACATTCCACAGTGCATAACATTGTGAAATTAAATCGGTGAGCTAGTAAAGGGTTAATAAGATTGTTGATTAGAAGAGCAGGTTACTACTCACAGAACAGGGTTCCTGTGGGTCATTCAAAGGTCCTAAAAAGTCATTTATTCATGAATCTAGAAAGAACTTACTTGCCCTTTAAAATGAAATTGGGACAAAAAATAAATTAAAGTTGAATAAATACATATTTCAAAGGTCTCAAAAGTTTTAAATACAAGAGTACCCTTTAATGATTGTGTGTGAGGAAATGCATTTGTTTCATGTGTGTGGCGTGTAAAATCCCTTTTTGTGTGATATCAGGTTGGAACTGTCAAAAGGTCCGTCACTGCTCCTCCGATCAGATCGAAAAATAACCTTTACTTACACTGCAAAAACGATCTGAAATTAGCAAAAATCTCTTAAATTAAGTGTATTTACCATTAATTTGAGTAGGTAAATAAGACAGTTTGCCAAAGGAATGAGTATTTTTAGTCTTAAAATAAGATAATTACGTAAAATTCACTTGAAATAAGACAATGCAATTGTGTTTTCTTATTTTAAATGTAAATTGTCTTGTTCCATTGCCAAAGTGTCTCAATTACCTCCTAAATTCAAGAAAAAATGCACTTATTGCAAGAAAAAATGAGATGAATTTATTACAAGAAAAAATAGATTTCAAATGTTTTTCAGTGTAGTGTCTGTGGTTCCAGTATTGTAAGTAATGCCTCCATGGCCTCCTCAGTCCAATCCTCACCTGCTTCACTGAGGGGTTTGCTCTGATCAGCAGGGAGCTGTATGCAGGAATTAGCATCACATATAAGTGGTCAGAATAGGTGGGGGCTGCTCTGAATGTGTATTTATGTTTGTGTAAACAATATATACTATACACATATTTTTCTCTATGCAGAAAAATCACAGTTTTAGCCCTTAAAAATGGAAAAAGTAGTAATTTCAAACCAAATTTATTTGGAATGTCTCCATTTGAAATAACTGAAACATATGTATAAACACTAGTTGTGGGCATAGATTATTTTTTTAAATCTAGATTATTCTAGGTTACTTCCAAGATTACAGTGAGATTAATCTAGATTAATAAAAAAAATTAAAAGAGCTGGGATGTATCTGTAGCTATTGAGATAAATATGTGTATAAACTATTTAAAATTTTCTTCTGGTTAATTGCACTTTTCAGGATTGTATTTAGTTAGATTAGACTTAGACACAATATTTATTCAAATTTGAGGTGTAAGGGTTGTAATAATGTCTTACATGCATCAAAACAATGGCTCTACAGCATGTAAAAGAATTCCCTGGTAAGTTTTTCTATGATAAGTCTTAGAAAGTGAGAGTTCTGTTGGACTGTTCTAACCTCCATCCTGTTGGATCAGCTCACATCTTTCTATTCTTTATCCAGATTGATTGGCTGCAGTTTTTCAGAGATCAGCTGTGCTTCTCTGGTCTCAGCTCTGAAGTCCAACCCCTCACATCTGGAACATCTGGACCTAAGCTACAACAACCTGAAGGAGTCAGATGTTCAGCAGCTGCAACATCTATTAGAGAGTCCAGACTACAAACTAAAGTATCTGTAAGTAGATGGTTGAAGTGGGTCCAGCTGCTCCACAGCTGCTCTGAACAGGACTGAAGTTCCTGACTCTCTTTATCCTGGATGTGCTGCATCACTGACTGATACATGATGGAAAGAAGCTGGAAACACTCATTGATCTCCTCTTCTCATCTTTCTGCTCCCTGCAGGAAGTGGAGCTGATGATCATTGTAGAGGAGAGAAGCTGATCTGCGTCCTGCTGAGCCACAGAGGTTGAAGCTGCAGCAGTTTGTTTAAAGATACCCTGACTGGATCCTGATAATGAACTCTGGGATTAGAGATTTTCCTCACTTTTATTTCATCCTGTCTGTCACTTAGTGTCTGATATTGCCCGTTTCTTCGTTCACAAGAACGTGAGTACGGACTCATGTTCTCGCCAAGTACGTTCTTGAGAAGAACACAGGAAAGTATGGACTTGGGAAGAACAGGAGCACCCAGCATAGACATGGGTCAACTGGAACAGAGCGTACCCGTGACGTCACCACACGCTTGGCTCGTCTGAAGCTGCATTTCACCTCCTGGTATTAATAGTCTAGATCGGAGGTCTTCAACAGGGGTCCACGACCCCTAGGGGGTCCACTGAGGTACTGCATGGGGGTCTCGAAGGATTTGGTTTATTAGACTTTTTTTTATATATTCCCCCCCTGCAATTTTTTCACTAATTAAAATGTATGAATTCAACACACTGTAGTAAACAGATAAATGGAGGCAGAAGATGTCTTTCAGTCATCAATGCACACATTCAACGACACACAGGAGCTCTTTCAAGCTGGGCATCGTTTAATTCACAACACCTGTCCCATCAACCAGGAATCAGAATCAGAAATACTTTGATAATACCAGGGAGAAATTAC